TAATGAGGACACCTTGTGTTCAGTTTCCTTCCAGATTACTTCTCCTGAGGTTGTTTTATTACACAAAATCATATAAACATATCAATTATCTTATGCATTTCAGTTTCGACTTACATTCCTCAATAACCATTCACATACCTTCACTCTGTCTGTATGTTACTCTTTTATGTGATAAACACATATGTCGAATTGAATTTCACATTCAATAAAATCTGTTATACCTTAAATACATTTGTATACAGTATTAACCTGTATTAAATACTACTCTTCTTTTTACTTTCACTTAAAAGTAGTATTTCATGACCCCTCTAACCTGTCATGTTGACTATTTACCTTCTGCCATTAATGGCAGGTCACTAAAATGCATTACTGAAACATATTTAAGTGTAACAAACAACCTTACTGTTTTACCAACAGTAACTAACTTATAACCCTTACAAAGTACATATTTATTACAAACTCACAATCACTATACATGCATGTAAATACTCAGTGTACGGGGGGCTTCAGATATACTGACAAACTTGTATCCTTACTGCGTCAGACCACGTTGTCCCCAAAATGGCGCCGTACCGGGGAAGCTAGGCTAATACACTCACACCATTTAACGGTTTTACACATGTAAACAGCGGTACAAAGTCTTCTAACTGTTAGCGGGCCGTTACATATTATCTTCGCAAACCTTATGGGGGATTCATTGTGATTTATGCACAGTTTACCAACCTGTATCGTGCAGGTGAAAGAGAAGTAATGAGGACACCTTGTGTTCAGTTTCCTTCCAGATTACTTCTGAGGAAACCCCGGGAACGTCCGTCGCTTTAATCGGTACCCCGGAACCATTGAATCGAACACAAACGTTCCGCCTCACTACTCACTGCATCTATCGACCCCGTTAGTGAAATGAAAATAACAGATGTACAAAATAAAGGCATATTCTAACTCTAAATATAATACTTATTATATTAATGTGGTCACACATCTCAGGGGTGCCACATTAGCAACACGGATCAACCATAGTTTAAAAACGGTTTAAAGCCGAGATGATCAAGATAGATAAATTGTTATTTGTATTTGAATCAAGTCTCAACAGAGTTTTTTGTGTTCGTTTTATACAGCCAATTTGTCTGGCTATTTGATACCATGAGGTCAGATGCCTTTTAGTTGATTTAATTGTTATTTTTTATTGGAGTCAGTTTTCAAAGCAATGTTTTTTGTAAAACAAGCAGCGTTGTTTTGTGTTTTTGTTTTGCTAAAGCTATTGTTTAGCACATGAGGTTTCTTTGTTACAGTTCATTAAGGTCAGCAACCTTTCTGCTTGACCACATGTGTGAGCGTCCATTTTGTTAAGATAAAGAGGTTCTTTGTTCTTCAGGTCACAGGTCAAATTGTATCAGCAGCCATTTTGTTTTGACCACATGAGGTCAAAAGTAATTTAGTTTGACCCATGTGTGAGCGACCATTTTGTTAAAAACTGAATCAGGAGGTTCTTTGTTCTCCTTATCACATATTAAATTAGATCAGTGGACATTTTGCTAAAGCTAGTTTTGTTTAGCCAGTTATAGTTGGGTGAAATAATATTATTGTGTTGTGGAAGGAGGGAGTTTGAGATTCTGATCAGTGGGTGTAAAAACCTGTTATTGTATTGAACTATTGTTTTGGGGCATTGGGTCAGCTGCTGGAGTAAATTTCATCCAAACTGACCAGCAGATTGTTGGAGGAATATTGATAAAAAAGCACCCACATAACAATTTTTCATAAACAGACGCAAATAGCTTTCAACTGATTGCAATGTATTCCCATCTGCGGCGGGATTTGACGCTCATGGAAGCACGGCATTCGTTTGTGTCGGAGGCTGTTAAAGGCAATATGAGCGTCCATTCCCATTGGATAACGGAGAATTGTACACCCGGAAGTAAGTATTCCCCTTACTGTCGATTGATTTGACAGTGATATCTCCACTACTCATCAACTCAAAAACACCAGATTATCCTTGTTAATTAAACGACATTGATAGGTTTTAGTGTGTGTACAATGCTTTTGTCACGTTTTCCCCTTCAATTCTGAGAAACAAGTAGTTTTCTATGAGTTTTGGATGGCCGAAGACATTACATTACCCACAATCCTCTGTAGCAACCATAGACTGTATAAAAAAATTAAATAATACATTATTCCGAGTGTGCTTGCTTTTCTCTTTGAAAGTCATCACATAACGGCATTGTAATACACGTTTCGGCTGCATTAAATATTACATATCTGCGGTAGTTAACTCTATTTATAGAGCCCTGATGACAAGACTTCTAGACAAACAGGAACTGCCGCCAAAACTGAAAACTTGACGTGGATCTTAAATATATAAGCAATTAAACAACATCTTACATTTCTTTTCACACAATACGTCTCCTTGCAGTATCAACACTAATTCGGCTAACTTTTATATTTGATCCAATTGGTAGATAGGCTGTATTTACGCCATAACGGTGCACAGCTGATAGAAAGGGACACCTACTGGTTAAAGCACGTTATTGCATTTTATAATTTTATTATTGCTGCCTGCTAACCGACAGGTTAGGAGCATCAGGTTTAAACGTCAAGCCCTGCTATCTAATAACCGCCTGGTTAAATACAGCATGGCTTGTGCCGCGAGCCCTGCTGCCTGCTAACTGACAGGTTACAGCCGGCTCAAACGGCGAGCCCCGCTGTCTGTTAACTGACCGGTTAACCCCAGCTGGCTTATGCACCTCCACACGTTGTATTGCACAGCGGCTCTCATCATGTCTCCGTTTAAGAGAAGGCTCGTAAACCGGACATTGAGGCGCGTTCACGCTCAACCCCGCTTGAGGAATGAGCGGAGGTGTGTGGAGGCATATCTGTGACATAGGAAACAAGCCCGTGCTGTCTAATCAACCGACAGGTTTTAAAGACAGCCGGTTTGTGACAGAGGAAAAAACCGTGTTGCCTGCTAACCGACAGGTTAGGAGCATCAGGTTTAAACGTCAAGCCCTGCTATCCAATAACCGCCTGGTTAAATACAGCATGGCTTGTGCTGCGAGCCCTGCTGCCTGCTAACTGACAGGTTACAGCCGGCTCAAACGGCGAGCCCCGCTGTCTGTTAACCGACTGGTTAACCCCAGCTGGCTTATGCACCTCCACACGTTGTATTGCACAGCGGCTCTCATCATGTCTCCGTTTAAGAGAAGGCTCGTGAACCGGACATTGAGGCGCGTTCACGCTCAAACCCGCTTGAGGAATGAGCGGAGGTGTGTGGAGGTATATCTGTGACATCGGAAACAAGCCCGTGCTGTCTAATCAACCGACAGGTTTTAAAGACAGCCGGTTTGTGCCGCGAGCCCTGCTGCCTAATAACCGATAGGCTATGAGGCAGCCGCTTATACAGCTTTTTTATGTCATCCGGAGGAGAGCTCTCCTGAACCGGGGGAACGGGGAGATCTCATTAGGCGGCTGCCTTTCCGATGATCTCCGGGAGTTCCTGGAGAATACCGCCTATACGGCAGATCCGAGATGGCGGATAGAGGGACCCGGTGACCCGGTGTCAGCCCGGCAGCCGAACCCATAGGCTCGGCTGTCGGGCTGACAGTCTCCCCCGTCCGGAGGAGAGGGAGTATGGGGCCGGGGGAACCACATGGTGATCCGTGACTGCTGCCCGCCACTCGGATCCAATAAATCAAGGGCTTGATCCACAGAGTAAGACTCCTGGACTAGCCAATCATCCTCAGCCGCAGCCGCGAGAGCGTCCGCTCTCTGCTGTCTGTGGGCCAGAGGGAGACGGACACAATGAGTGCACGACACCTGGGGAGTGAGAGCCGCGTTTGCTTGCTCCCATCCCCGGCAGTACTTACCTGTATCGTCTGTGTAAAGCCGCTTCCTTTCTCCCTGGAGCGAGCCAGCCACAGCCGGTCGTAACTCATATGTCGGGCTGACCCCGAGCCCCCGCCCTGTCTCCCCCGTCCGGAGGAGAGGGAGGATGGGGCCGGGGGAACCCCATGGTGATCCGTGAATGGAGAGGAAGGAGTCGCCTGACTGCTGCCCGCCACTCGGATCCCATAAATCAAGGTCTTGGTCCACGGAGTAAGACTCCTGGACTAGCTAATCATCCTCGGCCGCAGCAGCGAGAGCGTCCTCTCTCCGCTGTCTGTGGGCCAGAGGGCCAGTGCTTCTGCAACGGAGTGCTGAAGAAAAATGGGAGCAGATGGTCGGGCCTACTTCCTATTTATACGGAAGTGAGGCCGTAGTTGGGGCCCACGTCATAGGTGGGCGTGGATTAAGTCTGTCAGTGCTGCACACGTGCAGTGGGATTACCCAATAGCGATAGCCTTAGAGGGCGAAGCCTTATACGAAATAGAACTGGAGGATAAAGCTTGGTTTCAAAACAAACCTAGAATCACACAAGTTTATATTTTGCTATTTGAACAAAGTGTCAACTGTCCTGGGTAAATAACCAAAAATGCTAGTCTAACTCATTCTAATTGGCCATTAGAACAATGTGTCAACTTTCCTGGAAAACTAACAGAAATGCTAGTCTATTTTATTCTGATTTGCCATTACAACAAAGTGTCAAGTCTCCTGGGAGACTAACAAAAATTGCCAAGGCTGACTATATTTCAAGTCATCCCGGCGGGGTATTGGGTTAAGTTTTCAACCAGCAATAATCACGTCTCAGTAGAACTTCATGGACTATGAAATTGCCGCTGCGCAAGAATATTGAAGTAAAATACCAGATTAAACTCAACTTTCTCCAACAATAACAACACACATGGTGCATTTCTCAAACTTTTACATTAAAGGGGACCTATCATGCAAAATGCACTTTTGCACGTCTTTTATACATGAATATGTGTCCCCGGTGTTCCAGGGAACTCACCAAGTGTCAGAAAACACAACCCTCTCTATTTTCCTCCATACCCAAATCTCTAAAAAAGGGGCTGCAACGGATCTCATAAAAACTGATCCAGATTTGAACACTTTCCTGACGTCAGGACAGTGGTGCTACGGCTATTGGGCCTTGTGTAAAAACATATAATATAATTTAATTTAATATATAGTCCCCTATAGGGGACTATATATTAAATGGATTTTTAGCACTGGGAGCCGAAAGAGGGGCTTGCCCCGTTCACTCCACGCATCGACCCGGTATTGCAGCGCCTCCGGGAACGGTGCACCCATCTCCTGCCTTGTCGAAAAACAAACACAGACGCATCTCGAAACAACAACAAATGGTTTCATTTGAGGGCAGAAACTGCAGCACATCGGCAGCAGATCCTTTTTTGGACTCTATGCCAGAGAAGCTAAAGGTGACAAATTGAACTTGCCTTGGCTCTGGAGCGTGGCACGCAGAGTGAGGCTCACTGCAAGGGACAGAGATATTTAGAGCCCAAAGGAAGGACACGCTCTGGGAGGACATTGACACCAGAAAGTCTTTCCTAGAGCAAAGAAGCTGCCACACATGCAAGCTGTAGCCAGGTTGTCTTTGACATTTTCTTCAACACTATAATCAGGGGAGAGCGCGAACGCAGTCCCCCACTACCACAAATTATGCAGTCGAGATTCCCACATTTGGGGAATTCGCAGCGGTCAGCATAGCCGGGGTGCAATGGCCGAGCCTCGCCCTGGGTGAACCACCTTGGTGATCATGGTATCTCCCCTGCCAGGTAAGTATGAGTTGGATGGGTCAGAGGCAGGGGACTCTTGCAACGACAAAGGACACGGCGTGGCGGTTCCTGCCTCTGAGCCGGCCAACGCAGCCCATCAACCACATTTAACCCTAAGCCTTAAAGACAGATAAGGCTTGAAATAGAAATAGGTTCCAATCGGGGGCACAAACTGCAGCACAGCAGCAGGGGTCTTTTTTGGACTCAATGCCAAAGAAGCCACAGGTGAGAGCCATGAACCATGCTCGCGCAGCTCTAGCGCAGCTGGGGGAAAGGGTGTGGCCTGGGAGGTGGAAAAGCCAAGTCAGGGTCACCGCGAGGGATTGGACTGGGACAACTGCGGTGCTGTCTGTTCTCGAGGACGGCCTCCACAATTACTCTGGTTTCTCTTCAAAGCGTATAAGTCTTTCGCCTTTTACTAAAGACTTCCGTGGAGAGGAACACCTACGAGTTCAACCTATTTTTGGTAGGCTTGGCCGTTTGGCTGAGCATTCTGAGTTTGTGAAAGACAAGAAAAGGGTTAGGGTTAGGGTTAACCCAGTTACGCAGCGCCTCTCTTATGCCAGGTCAAAAGAGCCGCACCAAGACCGGCGGTGACTGCGCAACGAGTCCGTCTCCTGCAGCAAACGTTAAGGGTCATCGCTTCTCGGCCTTTTGGCTAAGATCAAGTGTAGTATCTGTTCTTATCAGTTTAATATCTGATACGTCCCCTATACGGGGACTATATATTAAATGGATTTTTAGCACTGGGAGCCGAAAGAGGGGCTTGCCCCGTTCACTCCACGCATCGACCCGGTATTGCAGCGCCTCCGGGAACGGTGCACCCATCTCCTGCCTTGTCGAAAAACAAACACAGACGCATCTCGAAACAACAACAAATGGTTTCATTTGAGGGCAGAAACTGCAGCACATCGGCAGCAGATCCTTTTTTGGACTCTATGCCAGAGAAGCTAAAGGTGACAAATTGAACTTGCCTTGGCTCTGGAGCGTGGCACGCAGAGTGAGGCTCACTGCAAGGGACAGAGATATTTAGAGCCCAAAGGAAGGACACGCTCTGGGAGGACATTGACACCAGAAAGTCTTTCCTAGAGCAAAGAAGCTGCCACACATGCAAGCTGTAGCCAGGTTGTCTTTGACATTTTCTTCAACACTATAATCAGGGGAGAGCGCGAACGCAGTCCCCCACTACCACAAATTATGCAGTCGAGATTCCCACATTTGGGGAATTCGCAGCGGTCAGCATAGCCGGGGTGCAATGGCCGAGCCTCGCCCTGGGTGAACCACCTTGGTGATCATGGTATCTCCCCTGCCAGGTAAGTATGAGTTGGATGGGTCAGAGGCAGGGGACTCTTGCAACGACAAAGGACACGGCGTGGCGGTTCCTGCCTCTGAGCCGGCCAACGCAGCCCATCAACCACATTTAACCCTAAGCCTTAAAGACAGATAAGGCTTGAAATAGAAATAGGTTCCAATCGGGGGCACAAACTGCAGCACAGCAGCAGGGGTCTTTTTTGGACTCAATGCCAAAGAAGCCACAGGTGAGAGCCATGAACCATGCTCGCGCAGCTCTAGCGCAGCTGGGGGAAAGGGTGTGGCCTGGGAGGTGGAAAAGCCAAGTCAGGGTCACCGCGAGGGATTGGACTGGGACAACTGCGGTGCTGTCTGTTCTCGAGGACGGCCTCCACAATTACTCTGGTTTCTCTTCAAAGCGTATAAGTCTTTCGCCTTTTACTAAAGACTTCCGTGGAGAGGAACACCTACGAGTTCAACCTATTTTTGGTAGGCTTGGCCGTTTGGCTGAGCATTCTGAGTTTGTGAAAGACAAGAAAAGGGTTAGGGTTAGGGTTAACCCAGTTACGCAGCGCCTCTCTTATGCCAGGTCAAAAGAGCCGCACCAAGACCGGCGGTGACTGCGCAACGAGTCCGTCTCCTGCAGCAAACGTTAAGGGTCATCGCTTCTCGGCCTTTTGGCTAAGATCAAGTGTAGTATCTGTTCTTATCAGTTTAATATCTGATACGTCCCCTATACGGGGACTATATATTAAATGGATTTTTAGCACTGGGAGCCGAAAGAGGGGCTTGCCCCGTTCACTCCACGCATCGACCCGGTATTGCAGCGCCTCCGGGAACGGTGCACCCATCTCCTGCCTTGTCGAAAAACAAACACAGACGCATCTCGAAACAACAACAAATGGTTTCATTTGAGGGCAGAAACTGCAGCACATCGGCAGCAGATCCTTTTTTGGACTCTATGCCAGAGAAGCTAAAGGTGACAAATTGAACTTGCCTTGGCTCTGGAGCGTGGCACGCAGAGTGAGGCTCACTGCAAGGGACAGAGATATTTAGAGCCCAAAGGAAGGACACGCTCTGGGAGGACATTGACACCAGAAAGTCTTTCCTAGAGCAAAGAAGCTGCCACACATGCAAGCTGTAGCCAGGTTGTCTTTGACATTTTCTTCAACACTATAATCAGGGGAGAGCGCGAACGCAGTCCCCCACTACCACAAATTATGCAGTCGAGATTCCCACATTTGGGGAATTCGCAGCGGTCAGCATAGCCGGGGTGCAATGGCCGAGCCTCGCCCTGGGTGAACCACCTTGGTGATCATGGTATCTCCCCTGCCAGGTAAGTATGAGTTGGATGGGTCAGAGGCAGGGGACTCTTGCAACGACAAAGGACACGGCGTGGCGGTTCCTGCCTCTGAGCCGGCCAACGCAGCCCATCAACCACATTTAACCCTAAGCCTTAAAGACAGATAAGGCTTGAAATAGAAATAGGTTCCAATCGGGGGCACAAACTGCAGCACAGCAGCAGGGGTCTTTTTTGGACTCAATGCCAAAGAAGCCACAGGTGAGAGCCATGAACCATGCTCGCGCAGCTCTAGCGCAGCTGGGGGAAAGGGTGTGGCCTGGGAGGTGGAAAAGCCAAGTCAGGGTCACCGCGAGGGATTGGACTGGGACAACTGCGGTGCTGTCTGTTCTCGAGGACGGCCTCCACAATTACTCTGGTTTCTCTTCAAAGCGTATAAGTCTTTCGCCTTTTACTAAAGACTTCCGTGGAGAGGAACACCTACGAGTTCAACCTATTTTTGGTAGGCTTGGCCGTTTGGCTGAGCATTCTGAGTTTGTGAAAGACAAGAAAAGGGTTAGGGTTAGGGTTAACCCAGTTACGCAGCGCCTCTCTTATGCCAGGTCAAAAGAGCCGCACCAAGACCGGCGGTGACTGCGCAACGAGTCCGTCTCCTGCAGCAAACGTTAAGGGTCATCGCTTCTCGGCCTTTTGGCTAAGATCAAGTGTAGTATCTGTTCTTATCAGTTTAATATCTGATACGTCCCCTATACGGGGACTATATATTAAATGGATTTTTAGCACTGGGAGCCGAAAGAGGGGCTT